TATAATTGCTCTAAAATTGTCATTTTCCATGTCATAGCTGCCATTTTTTATATTTGCTAGTTTTCACGGTGTGGATTTTTATTTTTAGTATTTTTCTTTCATGAGGGATGAGAACCATTGGATTTTTTTCCCTGATCCCAGGCCTGCCTGTCCCAATGCGGCAAAGGGGTATAACCTTGAGTTAAGGGAAACACCCACATTTGCCACTTGGGCAGTGCCACCAGCCCACTGCCTTGGCACAGCTGGGGGACTGTAGGCTCCTGGTGAGCAGGAGAAACACAGGGTCTTCAATGCAGTGGAAGGAGCAGGGCCATGGCCAGTCTTTTGATTATGTCTCTAAAGCCACATGCTAGGTCATCTTGTGCTGACAAAGAGCTCAGTCTTCTGCACACACCCATCCATGCCTTGGACACAGTGAATGTCCAACTTGGGCAGTAACTCATGTGGACAGACCCATTGTCCAAATGGTCACATCCTCCAGTTATCAACATATGTCCTCTCACTCCTGGCAAGCCCAGACCTGATCTCTAATACTAGAGATGAGGACACAGAAACATTTCTCCTGGATATTTCTACTGTACCTGCTTCACCCCTAAATCTTATCACTCTAAGATGTGCATATCTGTGTGTACATGGTTGTGAGAAAGGAAAGTTGCAAGTGCATGTACACAGATGTATGTGCACATGTTCGTATAACAAGTCCATGCAGTTACACACATCTACTCAGTGGAAGATCCTTCCTCTATCTTTGTCCTTCCCAATTACGAAGCTATAAAGTGCTGCTACTATCATCTTTATTTGACAGCTGGACACAGGTGAGACCCAGACTGTGGAAAAGACACATGAGGGCTGGTGGTCAACTAGGCCTAATTCATGATCCCATGCAAAATAGTTCAAACTAGTTTATGTCCCTCCATCCATTTTCCTCGTGTAATGTTATTCACTTATTCCTTACATTATTATCATCTTTAACTTAGCTCACTAAAAAGGAAGCTTAATCAACAAGAGAGCAAGGTTGTTCCTCTTTATGATGAGTCCTCAAGAGTGGGGAAAAAATGCCTGGCTTTCACAAAGTGCCCGATGAATAAGTTAAGAAAAATCAAAACAATAAATACACCAAGAGTTAGTCGTGTACTAAGATGTGCACTGACCATTTTACAGCTTTAACTACTGGCTCATCTTGCAATGCAATGGGATAAGTACCAACGAGCATCCCCATTTTACAAATGACAAAACAGGCACAGAGAGGATCAGTAAATGTGTGTGCTGGGTCTGCTCTTGGTCTCTCCTTCTCTTTCCAGTGTATTCTGGTGGGACATAAATTGGGATTGTGGTTGGGAGGAAGTAGTGGCTGGATGGGAAACAAATCTGAATATTCATATGCTAGTTTTAGCCTTAAAAACAAACAGGTTTCCTTTCAACATGTAAGGCTGGGGCAGAGGAGAGGAGGAGAGCAGCAAGCTGGGAACATTCTGAAAAATGCATTTCTAAGTTTTGATCTTCTTCTTGGAGGTACGTGCTCATAAGCATAATTACTCCCTTCTCCTCATCCGGGGTTTCTGCCATTGATTTGTAGCTTGAAGCCACAAGGCCATGTCTGTAACATCCCAATTTTTCCAGGAATGCCTCTGATGAATTCAAACATTATTCTTTTAACAAATGAAGCAGTAAGCAGCAGGAATTGAGTTATGAAGGACAACGTTCAGGGATGTTTAGACACATGATTAAATGGCAATTTCGGGAAGAATGCTAGAAGGAGACCATGGACATCTAAAGAGATTTGTGTGTGGATGTTGCAATGGTGCTGGTGAGCAGACGCCTTACCTTTGGCTCCTGCTCTTAGAGGAGCCTCATTTTCTCACTTTGTATTCCTGCCAGCCTTTCTAGTTCCTTCGAGTTACCTCCTGGGTAATTGATTTTGTTTATGAATTAGAGCTGAGATGAAATTCAAAGCAATCAAGGTAAAACTCTATCAAAAAGGTCTAGATCCAGTTGGATCTGGTGACATAGTTCTAGCTCAGAATCTCACTGTGAAACTTGTGCAGGCCAGCCAGTTACAAACAATGGCTGGAAAAGTTTGAGAGACATTTCGATTACTGACTTAAAAAGTCACTATCTGTGGGCCACTTTTACTTTAACACTTAAACCATGTTTATTCACTTTATTGGCCAACAGATCAGATCGTGTAAGTAAAGGACCTCATACACATCTGGACACTCAATAAATGCTTTTCTTGCTGATAAATACGATGATGGATAGTAGATTCCTGACATCTTTTCCCCCCAAAATTAGGATGTGAAAGAAATGCTGCTTTGAGATCATTAGCCACCCTCTCCCAAACATTTAAATGTACATTTCAATAGAAATATAAACTGACTTTTAAAAATTATTACTTCCAGTCAATTCTTTTTGATTTCCTGAGTTTCCAAGACAGAAAACTAACTCCTTAGTGATGCTCTACCCAGACATATGTGCAACCTAACCCCAGCTGTGCCCCCACCTCCACACCATGGTCCCATGTGCCTCTTTGGCTGTGCAGAAGTTCTCTGTTGCTCCCTTGAAAATAGAGCCAGCTTCATGGGTACTCAACCTGGGTTAGGTACAGAGCCTGTGCTCAGAAGAAACCTTCTCTTGGTGTAATGCTCTGCTGTCACCCTTTTGATAGTCTTAATAATTTATCAATAAAATAACCTTGCAAAATATACAGCTGGTCCTTCTTGGAATACATCACATGTCGCTATATACAAACATAAACAATTGCATAAATTAAAAAAAAAATCTTAACAGGGTATTTTGTAATTCTGAAAAAAAATCTACTGTAAACAGTTTAATCATCTTTCAACAAGAACAGTCTTCCAGAATCTGTCTAATGAGGATCAGAATTAAAATGACATTTCTAAATAGATGAATTAGAAAAATCTGTTTGAAGCTGGATTTAGAGACTATGAGGTCGATTGCAAAGATGCTGGCACTCAATAAGCACATTCTGCATCTTCTGTTATCCCTTCTGGCCTGTTCAAGGACTGAGCCCAAAACAGAGCCCATCATCACCAGCAGGTATAAAGTTACCCAGGGAGCCCCAATATCATCAGGTCAGGACATGTACCCCAGAACACTGGGACAGTCCTCTCCAGAGACCAGTTTTTCTCTTGTTGTCTTGAAACAGCACTGGCATGGTGTGAAGCCCAGTAAACCTTGATTCAGATGAATGTTATTGCATGATTATTTTTAAATCCATAATTCTGATTTTTAACTAAAATATGTTTGCAGTTGGGCCATGTTCGGAAATACAGAATAGTCTAAATTAGTCATTAAAAGCTCTATTTTTCTCTTTCCTCAAATAGAGGTCCTTAAGGGATTAGTTTTAATGAATAGACGGGAATAATGCATAATTAGCATATCAGTTATTTAACACATTCAAGAGAGTAACCTTCTTAAACAGTTTCAGGAAAGTATGTGTATAAAACCTGAGTTATGTTTATGGTTTTAATGTGCTCAAAAAACTCTTTTACAAAGAATTTTCCAAAGGTCAGTTCTTATCCAGCCTGTTTTTGCATTTTCACAAATTGTGAACTGGGTAACTCCAAAAGAAAGAGGATTTTCTGTATAGTAAATAAAGGCACTCAGTGGGAATGCTTTACAGCACACAGGTTATGACCTGTTCTAAATGTCTGCTTTTCCCTTCTGCCATGAAAGATGGTTCCATTAAGCTAAGATCTACTTTTTAATTATTATTTGGCTTTTGGTTGCAATAACGAGAAAACAAAAGCCTTGATCACTTGATAATGTGAATCTATTAAAAAAGAAAAGCTGCGTTTGATCTCTCTGCCAGCCCACCTTCAAGCCTTTACCATCATGTTGTTCTTTCCTGTAGTAGAGAACTGACCAGGTCTCTCCTCATACCTGTTATTCACCCCAGGACCCCTGCCTTAGTGATAGGAAGGGACTTAGGAGTCACATGCTGCCCTTTCTACCTCCTATTCATATTCAATCAATTCCCAAATCTTATCAATCTTACCAGTAAATACTACTCAAATCTACCCATCTCTACTAGCCCAAGATCCAGTGAGTGCCACATTCAGATTTTTTACTGTCATCCCACCCCTCCATACCACCATTCCATGCAACCAAGGCAATTCCCTTAAAATGTGCACTACTCTCCAACTTTAAGCCCTTCCATCTTCTTCACTGGTCTGTAAAAGAGGGCAAAAACCACGGAAAAGGTATGATGGTCCCATAGGTCTGACTTGGCTAATCCTCCCTGTGATCCATGTCATAAGCTCTATCTGCCTTCTTTGAGATAGTTAATCCCCCTTCCCGTCTCCCAAATTTCCATTTACTTCCATTCTCCTTCAGGGAATACTCTTCCCCACAAAAGCTCCCCTCTGCATAGATCAGATATTGATGTTAAAACCTATATTATTTCCTTGGAGACGCCTTCTCTCATCCTCAAGACCTGGTCACAGCCTTTCTTGCCTTCCTTATGCTTTTAGGAATTTATAATCAAATATTTACTTATTTCTGTGGCCATTTGATTAATGTTGATATACTCATCTAAATCACAAACTTCATGGCATTTTGTTCTGTATTTGTATTAGGCAACCTTTTCTTCATTGAGACACAATATCATACACAATTTAAAGGAAAAGTTTAATTTGGCTCACAGTTTGGGGAGATTCGGTCCATGGTCAGATGGCCCCAAGGCAGAGTAATCATGGTGGAAGTGTGTGAAAGAAACAATGCTTAATTCATGGCAGCCAGGAAGCAGAGTTGGATAACAGTCCATGGCAGAAGGGGCCAAGGACCATACACATAATACCCAAAGTCATGCCTCCATGATCCACATAGGCACATTCAGAAATGTGCTTTACCAGCCCCTGGGTCTTAACTGTAATACCACTCTAGCTCAAATCCTAGCCGATGCCTTTTACTTTAGAAGTGGTGGTGTGTCAGCAGATCCTCTACCCACTGAGTAGGGAGAAAGGAGCTAGATAACTCACCGCACTCATGAGCGAGTCCAGGACACTGACGGCAAATGCTGTCCCACATGCAAAGGGCTGTGTGAGGTACAGTTCTGTGTCAGGATCATCATCATCATCTTGGTCCAAAAACTGAACATTAGTATCATTCACTAAAAAAAGCATACAATAAAAATTAGCACCAAAGACCATACCCAGGCGAAGAAGCCATGGAAAGACCAGATGACTGGTTTAGAAACGCTTAAGTCACTACAAAGGAAATAAAAGCATGGCAAAGCTTCTGATGGATCTTTGGATGGGGAGGCAGTGGAACTCAATGGACTGCTCCTATGGGATTGTTCAAACTTCTGAGACCTAGAGAGGAATGCTGTCAAGCAGGCTTGCCCCATGGCAAGCTGCTGGAGACAGCAAAGGCCAGTCCTTTGGTATAGTTTTAGAATCATGACCGAAAAACACTCTGGAGCATTTTTTGGTAGCCAAGTCCTTTGAGAGATGGACATATTTCAATGACAAGCAGCCATGCTGTGATGGTAAGTTGAGCCACAAAGAAAAGAAAGCAACTTATCCAGAGGAAAGAGCAATGGACAGAAGCATAACAAAGGCATTGCAAGGAGCTCACCCTCAGCTATGACCCACAGCCTGCCCTGCATACTGCCTAGCATCCTGGCCCCTGAGTCCACCCAACAGGGCCTGCTGAACACTCAGGAACCTCCGAGTTACGTGCAACCCTAGCTGTCTCCTGCTGCATACTGACAAAGACTTTCTGCCTTCAGACTTGCAAAGCTACACCCCCATTCTTCCTTTTTCTTTCTAAACAACTCAATCTTTTCTGTGCTTCTACTTAGAGAGGATACAGCACTGGATGTTATATTTCATTTTCATCTGAGGATTCCTCAAGGACTCCTCTGTGCACACATGCACACTGATTAGTTGTGTCACTCAAATGTCTTTAACTTATTAAACATTAAATGACAAATTAATTCCCATTCCCATCTTGGCTTCAGAAATTATCACTTTTATAGAGTAAGTAATAGGGGAAAAGTGGGGGGAGGGCAGTGGGAAGAGGGGTACTTATGATTTCTGGAATAATTATTGTGCTTTTAAAAAGAGAACAGATGAGATTTCCTTTCTCTGATTCCTTTCTAAATATATCAGCTGCTAATTCTCTTTCCTGAAATTATTGTTTTAATTTTTTACAGTAACTTTCTTGACAACTTTTCTTTTTTGGAAAAAAAAGAACTTTTGTTTGTTTATTGTATGAGGCAAAATAAATGATGCATAAGCATGGAATTACTTTTAAATGGCACCATCTTTTTTCCATATAGGAAAACTCTCACAGGGAATTGCTTGCTCTGGTTTTCCAAAGTTCATTGTGTTGGATTCCCAGTGTTACAGCAGGATGTGAAAAACCCAGGTTCTGACAACTGGACTTTGAGTCCAGGCTCCTGTACCAATTTTCTTGAGCATTTTCTGATTCTAACTCTAGGCTTCCTCTCACTAAAATGGGGAAATTAAGGCAGCTCTGCTCAAAGACATTATCTGAGGGCTCATATATGATTGTGCCTGGTGAGCTGGGCACAGTGTGTAGATCATGCTGTGCATTAAATAAATAGAGGCTATTACCACAATTACCTTTCTGACATTAAATGTCTATTAATCCATTACATTATGAAAATGCCCAGCACCCCTCTGCCTCTCTTAGAAACACTAAATGTTTGCTTATAAATCCCTCAAATGGTAGTCTTTCCTGACTTTCTTCTGTTTGTCCCATTAAACTGAATTAAGTTTGGACTAAAGATGTAAAGATACATATTTTAAATTTGGCCCAAATGTGTCTTCACATATAGTGAACCATAACCTTACTTGGTAATTTAAACAAACTATAATGTCCTCTTGTAACCGGTAGCTTAATCTCAACAAATCACAAGTGCCAAATGGCCCCAACAAGGTCCACAAAAGACAGACATGACCTGTCACCAATCAGCTGACTCAATACTATACTTCTGTTTTCTCTATCATTTCCTTTTCACTGGCGAATAATATGATCTGTCCATTCTGAACCATTTTGGCTTGGGTGGTACACCATTCTAGAATCACAAATGAAGTCAATCAAGATTTCAAACTCGATTCAATGTAATTTTGACCTTTAACAATTTGTGTTATATTAGTGCTTCTGCTTTGTTGATCACAAAATGTAAGCTGGAGACCATGTGTGGTGTGTTTAAGGTAGCTACTAATCATGTATATGGGAACACTCCAAAGGGAGCAAGTCTGTCACCTCTTTTCAAGAGATGGGGAAGGGATGGTGTCATAGCTGAGAGGCAAAGTGGCTCTAAGTGGAAGAGAAGACTCCAGATCTTCAGTGACAAAGAAGGTGGATCACCAGAAAAGAACTTCAAGGCTCTAGCCATGGTTCAGTGAAAACTTTACATATGGTTCTGGGATGCCCAGTCTTAGAAGGAGAACGGCCAGCATTACTGCATGCCTCTTTCCCAGAACAGTAATTATGTGGGTTCTAAGATGCGACAGAAATATGACCCCAAAACATATGTGGCTGGCTACAATTGGGAAGAAGTAGTGAAATAGTTTTAAACAACCTCTTTCATCTGGAACTCTTAGGAATCTTTGTTGTGGTAACATGGATTGGGAGTGTCCAGGTAGATGAAGACTGGACCATAATAAACAGTTTTTTAAAATTTTATTTATTTATATTTGGAGGGGTTTGGACAAGGTCTTGGTATGTCATTCAGGCTGGTCTTGAACTCATTATATAAGTTAGGCTGGCCTCAAACTAATGGTGGTTCTTCTGCCTCAGTCTCCCCAGTTCTGTGATGATTAGGGATGACTCTGGAGTCTACTACTATGGCTGACCATATTATATAGTTTTAAAAAAACTTGTTTGCAATATGCAATATATTAACTAGTGTTAATTTCCTACTTTTTTTGAAATTCTGTATCATTTCTCTCCTTTTTTTTCCTGTTTTGTTTTTTTAAAAGTAATAAATAAATGCAAAAACAAACTTACTTGGCTTTGGTTCTGTCCGTTTTTTCAGGGGCCTTTTGCTGGCTAGGTATCATACAGCACACATCTCAGAACAGGCAGGTAAATAGTAAATATTTGTGGAGTGTGATACAGGAGAAGCGGTGAGAGGATGGTTACTACAGAAATAGGATGCTGGGTAAAAGATAAGGGTAGTGTGAGCCCAGTGAGGCTCAAGAACACACGAAATCTTGAGTTTAGAGTTTCAGGAGAATCAGTTATACTTGCTGAATATCGGAATCCTTGCCTTAGATTTGGGGGTATAAGCCTCTCCTTTCCTCTGCCACTAATCACAAATTAGAATTTCCTAATTATTTAGCACATGAATTCTATTCTATTTGTATGTTTTTTTTTTTGTTTTTTTTTTTTGTACTGGGGATTGAACTCATGACCGTGTACTTGCAAGGCAGGCGCTTATGCCGCTGAACTAAATCCCCAGCTGTTTGCACATGAATTCTAAATAGAAAAAAAAAAAAAATCCTTGGCCCAGATGTTTTGAAGGCTGCTGTTGATTTTTAGGATAGAGATCTTTGGATGAATTTCCTATCAGTTGTCTGGCCCACATGAACTCCCTAAGTCTCTTACAGCCTTGTAGCTCTGACAAGACCAATCTCAAAACCTAGGCTTCCAGCAACCACATTAGACATAAAAAAGACACCTCTCCTATGGTTGGAAACAGAAAATAGTGTGATACTCCTTGACCTGAGCTGATAAATAGCTACCTCTACAAAAATACAGTGCTGAATGGCGGACAATTTATTTCCTAGATTCTAGACACCTTAAGATCAGTGTGTTAAAAGCCTGCTCTCTTATTTTGAAATATACTTTTGGGCCAAGAAAATGGAGTGTTCATTTCATTTTTCAGTCATTCGAAGGCAGGTACCTCCTGCCTCTCCAGCTACTCCCATAGCAAGCTACACTTTCACTGTCTCTATTTAGAAGATCAATTCACAGTCCTGAGACCTGCTGCTGATAGGTGCCCTTCACGGGGTTATTAACCAAGTCATGGACAACCACAGAAGCTTCTGACAAAAGCAGTCATGACCAGGGGCCTTTATCTTGCAGATGAATCCACTGTGAACCTCTCAGAGAGGGCTCTAGCCCAGGGAGGTGGGGGTCAGAGTGCAGAGCTGCAAACCTCATCTGCTGCACCCTTCTGGAAATCTGACTTTAGTAAGTCAGCATCCCCTAGGAACCAGCTGCTTTTATGGTTTCAGAACCAGAGCTTCTGAGAAAAGGCCTAGTAGGGAGAAAAAAGGCAAATAAAGTCAGAATAAAGGAAAATAAACAGCTGGAGGGAAGGCACTGTCTCAGGTTTCTTATCTTAAAATTTTTATATTTCTCCTTTGACTTCCTCTGAGAGCTGTGAAGATGTGTCAGTCAAACTGACAGTGTGTTGGAAGAGGAATATAGGCATAAGGCGAGGGAGCCAGGGTACGCGTGGAAAAAAAAAAGGCTTGGGCCACAGAAAATGAATTAGAGCAAAGATGCCGTGGAAACAACTGCCAGGTCAGATGGGTGTGATCAAAGGTTTACTGATGCTGTGTGGGGAAAAAAATCATTAAGAAAGGCCAGAACAAGACAGTCGATTCCAACCAGAGCCACAAATAAAACACATTCAAAGCAGTGCCATGGGGTAGCCTTTCTGTTACAGCCGGTGAAATAAACAACAAGCCAATGATTGTTGGAAACACCAAGAACAGAACAAAAGGAGATACTAATGTCAAGGAAAACAGTGCTTCTTACCCAGTTCAGTTATCATTAGAATGTGCGTCCCACTGTTTTTTTCCTGATTGACTGATACCAAAGGCAACTTGCCCGGTTTAGCTAATTGGGATACAGCATTTAAGGGTTGGGGAAAGGGAGTGGAGGAAAGTACAGAAAAAGAAAACAGTGAGGGAATAACAGGAAACAACTCTAAAGTTTAGGCACCCAGGACCAGGGGGAGATTGTGTTTGTCTTGAGGGATGAGCACTTGAGCATCTTATAATTTCACAAACAGTAGCAGACAGTGCCATGGATTGGATTGGATTGGATTCCCATTGGCCCAATCCTGGATATTGGATTCCCATTGGCCAATGATTGTATAACTCATAATCCAATCACCTTTTGAAGCAGAGTGGCCATTTGCTGAAAATGGCTTTTGCCTGAGAATTTCAAATAGGATAGGCAAAATGCAGAGTTGTTCTACATTAGACCAATGCATCCAACAATTCTCAAAGTGGGTCTGGAGTAGACCTGGGGTTTTGTGTAACGGCAGAGGACTTAGATCATAGGAGCGGTTCAGAAGAACGCTCAAGAGGTCCTCCCAGGGAAAAGGCACCAGAAAGAACCCAGGACCCAAGCCTTTCCTCCTTTCTTCTCCTTTCCCAAATATGTGCCCCATCTCAAAGCCATCATCTCATGCTACTTTGGGAACAGTGGCCAGCACTAAGGAAACTGTCTATTCATCCCAGAGGAAAGATAGATCAGTTTTTCCTTCAGGTAATCTGCCATGTTACCCATATTTACCTGCAACCTCCCCAAACAAACTCCCCTAGAGGCAAGGAGGTCAAAAGGGCTAACAACAGGCCAATTCCTCATATCCTGCATGGTCTGGAAGAAAAGGAAAAATTCCACTCCCTGGAAGTGACAGTGATCCCTACCTAGTTCAGTGATGATGGGGATATTCACTCCGGTCGTGATGGAGGGCTGGCGTAGCATCCCATGCACTGGGCTGTTATCTGGAGAGGATCTGTCCATTCCTGGCGGTGTGAATCCTAGTGGGAAGGAAAGAGAGAAGGGAGCAAATTAGAGAAGTGAATAATCTGTAAATAATGAGTGCAGTCTACACAACTCAAAAAATACAGGCGTTATGCATTATTTACAGATCAACCATTAACACTTGGAAGGTAAAGTCCGATGAGAGATTTTTTTCGAAGGATGCAGCAGGAGGCTATTGTAAATAATTCTAACTCACTTTGGGAGTTTCTTAAAACTCCAGAATAGACCAATTATTTATCCTGCTGACAGATTTTGATTCCCCTATCCATCCTGGCACATGGGAGGGTTGTACCTGTATGCCTTTGGAGATAAGACTAGATTATGTGACATATGAAATGGTCCGGTCCATGAAAAGTGAACAGAATGGTATCAGTTCTGATACTTGTATTTGAATTGCTATGTTTCTCTTCCCAAGCCATGGCAACTGTGGGAACACTGGCTCCTATGGAGATGAAGCCTGGACAGAAGTCACAGCCAGTTACCTATATCCACAACACATTCTGTCTGAATAAAAATAAAGCTGACTTGCTTTAAGTCACTGAGATTTGTCTGTTTGTGGTTGTCATCATACTATAACCTAACCTTTCCCACCTGCTACCTTGATTCTCTTGCCAATGAGTGGGGTTTCAAAACTGGGTTCTGGCTAATGGGATGTGGAGAGACATCTATTTAGGACCTTCTCTCAAAGTAAACACACAGGAAGAGATTCTCTCTTGATCCTCTGTTTAGTGCTTTATGCATGATTGCTTACAGTATGTGGACCTTTGGCAGTCATATTGCAAAGGAAATGAACACCACTGAGCACAACAATCCCGACACGGGGTATTTTTCCCAGAAAAATTGGAAAGGTCAAGTCTCAGTGATATATGTGCACCATGTTTATAGCAGTGCAATTTGTAATAGCTAAATCTTGGAAACAACCAAAATGCCCATCAACCGCAGAATGGATGAAAAAGATGTGGTTTTTTATACAATAGAATATTACTCAGCTATTAAAAAGGATGATCTTGAGGCTTTTGCAGGCAAGTGGAGGCAACTTGAGACTATCCTTGTAAGTCAAACTCACATTGGTAAATATCACATTGTCTCTCTAGTATAAAAAGATGAAAAATGAAAGAGTAATAAGATCCAAAATGTATAACATACTGTGATAATGAAAGGGAAAGAAAGTGCTCTAAAGGATATAACTGTAGGTAAGCATACTAAGTTTTTGTTAGTTCATCAAACAGTATGGTTTATACTGTCATTATTTGATTGTCCACTTTTTATGCTTGACTTTGTGATTTAAGGAACTATTTCTAAGATAATAACACGTAATTTATCAACTAGTGATTTCTTACTTTTTAAAAATTCTGTATTTCTACCCATTTTTCTGTAAAAAAAAAAAAAAATCCCCTGACAATATTGGTTGAACTCAGTAGGAGACAGAACCAATCCTGGAATTTCTTAGGAAATATCTCAGAACCACCCTATCTTAGGATTCTTATAAATGAGATTTTATGCATAAATTCATAATAAACACACTCATATGCGTGCACATAATATAATATTTTTGTTTCAGCCAAATTGAAAAGGGATTTTCTTTACGCGCTGTTCAAATTCTCTTGATTATGTAGATACAATTAGCTTAGAGTGGCTCTCTGGAACATCTTACGCAGAGCACAGACAAAGATCAGTTGGACATGTAGATACAAGAAAGCTCGAACTTGGACTGCTTGGCTTGGGATCTTGCATTCTGGGCTTTTTTAGGCCTCAGGAACCAAACCCTTGGTATTGATTAGGATGAGCTTGAGCCATTTAGAGTTTCAGGTTCAGTGAGAATGAGAAATTATCCCAGCTAAGAGCCTGGTGGATACTTGTTTAGGGATACATACAGGGATGCAGACTCATGGGAAACTTACTTGCCAAATACATTTGCTGGGTGGAAATCAACTTTTCCCAATAAAGCAGGTTGCAAGAGGAGCTGGAACCATCAGCCCCGTGTCAGCCGAGGCTCCCTTTGCTTCCCTACCATGCAGGACAGGCGGGTGTCCATTCATTTTGGCTTCTTTTCTTTGTCCTCAATGGACTACCACATGGGCTGATTGAGGATTTGGGGATTTATAAATGCAAAGTCACTTGCTAGGTTTCCAAGGATAAAGTTTTAAGTAGATAATGTGACCAGATTCCTGATTCACAAACCCAGCATTTTGGCCATGTATGAATCAGGAACAAAATGACAGGTGCTCAATAACCGCCTGTTGTTTGGAAGGCATATAATGCATGCAGTGCCAGAGAAATATAAAATAGTTTCTTATTTTCTACTCTCTTGTGTATATATTTCATATCAAGTGCCATCGCTTCAGGCAGAAAGTTTTACTTATTATTGATTCCCTGACTCCACTTAACTTTATTCTTCCTATTAACATACTGTGAACGAGCAGAGTCATTTTGAATGACATAATAATATCCGTCTTCCTAAACTTTGGAAGCTGTGTTTTTTGGCTAAACACCTAACCAAGAACATGCATTTTAAATGCCGGCTGTTCTCTTCCCCTCGAATAGTGAAGGGGAGAACTAAACTGTTTTCATCAGAAGTTTCACTCAAAGGCATGAAAAACTGCAAGTGACAACTGCACAGATTCAGTGGATGTGACGTTTTTGAATTTCTTCAAGTTGACAAGTAAACACCTTAAATCGGTAATGCTATATGCATAATACATGGCCGGTATTTTGACATCCATCATCAAATGCTGACTTGAGAAAATACGGGTTTGTACGTCAAGGAATAGCACCCATAAAGCAGGGAGAAATGCAGGTCACACGGTATTAGGAAAACTGTATTTCATTACAGAACCTGCAACAAGACACAACATCCTTTCATTTTACCTTATTTAAAGATTCCATTTTCAGCTGTGAAAAGACTCGATTCCTTTGCATGAAACCTTCATTTAGAAATGACATGCCTGCTTCATAGGCCTCCTGCATTTTGCTTTCATATTCCATTTTCCCCTTCAGTCACCAAGCTTGGTTCCATTACTATTTGCAACTGACAAACTACGGTGGGTGTCTCAACAGACTTCTTCAGTGAAGGTCTGTCTCTGTCTCTTTCCCATGCAAGACTCAAGAACAGGATGCCTTTGTTGGTGAGAAATCTTCAGCAATCATAATGCTTCTTCTTATTTTGCTACTTCTAAGGAAAGCATCAAGAAAAAAACACTTTCCTTTTCCCTAGTGTAGAGTTGTATTAAAGATAAATAAAATTTTATAGCATCATTTTTCTCAGGGTTCTTAATATAGGAAAACTATGGACTAGGATGTTATGCTAACCCAGATTCCCTAACTGACCTTGGAGAGAAGAGAAATCCAGGCGCCTTCCCTCTAAAGGGATAAGGCCATCTGGCCTTTGATGCCAAGGGATAGCGTCTTTTCCACTCATCAGAGTCAAGGTTAGCAAAGCAGAAGGTCTCAACTGTGTCCAGGCTTCTGACTGTCTTCTTCTCCAGCCTTTCTTGCTGGCAGTAGGAGATACATTTCTGGTTGCATTTTGAATCTTTATGTGAGCACACTGGTGTGTGGATTGTCCTTCAAGGATCTTCAGCTAAGGAACAGTGACACTGGGAAATGCTCCCTTTGTTGGTTAAACTAACACTCAGGAAATTAATTTTAGAAGTACCTTCTTATCTTGCCAAAAGAGAATTTGCATTAGATAAGTAGAACAAGAAGTCCTCAATCAGGAAAAGACTGTAGCTTAATTCATCTACAGCTCAAGCTCTTGCAGAAAGGGTCCCCTGGTTCTTCCAATGCATCCCTGTTATTCTCTGCCAAGCGTGGCCATAGGAGGCAAGTGTTGAGATAAAAATGACTCCTAAAGATCAGTTCACCTCCTGAAACCAAAGGCCTTTCCCACTCTGGTCTTCAGTGGCAGATGTGATAGACATTTGTTATCTACTCATTTTTATGAGGCATACGTGCCCTGGCCAGAGCTATCTCATGCTAAGTATCTCACTCCACCTGTTATATAAAACTTTAGGCCAGGCACTGAGTTTTCTATTTCTTTAAACTTCCAGATTGCCTACAAATGCCTGGTGTATAGAGAAGGAGAGAACAGAATAGTTCTGAATATGGGCTTGAAGTCAGATGTCTGGAGTTCAAATTCTGGCTCAGTCATTTCTTAGCCATGTAACACTAACCATTGTTTCTGACTCTTTGTTTATCAACCACAAGTATCACCTTTGGAGGGCAACTGTAAGGCTAACATGAAATGCACAATGCCCAATATGAAGCAAGTACTCCAAAATACCAGCTGGTGATGTTAGCATGCTACTATGTACACAATAAATATTTGTGGCTATGTAGAGAACTCATTACCACCCTCTTTCCATGGATAAAAACTAGTAAGTCCTGAAACCAAAATTCAATTCAAAATAGCTAAGGAAAAGGGATCTGGATATGGGGAAGAGTGGGATTTCCTTTAGGTATATGGAAAGGTTGGCCAGTCTCTTCATGAAGAAAGGTTCTTAACTCCTTCTGTTCTCTAGATGTATCTCCCACCACCTTTAATTAAGACAGCATTTTTTTTATTTTTGGGGTCCTAAAATTCATTCACTACTCTCCACATTGTTTTTCAACATTGGTGCTCTTGATGATATGCAATCCTGTGGTGTTCAGCTGAAGACAATCAGTAGAGCCTGATGTTGTTTTTGGGCTCCTGGTTAATCTAGAGGCTGGCAGCCCTAAGCCTCAACAAGAGAAGTCAGAGGAAGATTAAATGAAATATCCAGACAATGGTGCTTTGATTAGGATGGCTTGAGTTTAAGAATTCAACACAAACACTTAGCCTATCCTGAGAAGTGCTAGGGGACAAGACACAGGGATAACAAAGACATCACCAAGGTTCTTTTTTATTATTTTAGAAACCTCCTGTATGCATGTACCATATGGTTACAAGTAGGTACTGGCTCAAATAAGCTCTCCCAGAGAAGAGGGCTAGAAAGGTGCTCCAGGGCAATGGAGA